TTTTTTTAAGGGGTGTGTGTGCATACAAGGGAGAGAGAGAGAGAGAGAGAGAGAGAGAGAGAGAGAGAGAGAAAGAGAGAGAGAGAGAGAGAGAGAGAGCAACCTCAGCAATAGATCCCCTTAACACGGCTCAGACGGCCCATGCAGGCTATCTGAAGGGTCCTTGCAGCCATGTAGTGCAATCCCCCCCCAAAATCGAGGCAGGCAGCGCATATGAAGTAGAGCATGAGCTGGCCGAGTATATACTCAAGATTCGAGTTCAGGTCTGTGTTTCAGCAGTTATGGGTTGCTCGCGTAGCTAGGCCCTGTTGGTCTCTGCACGTGACTCTTAGGGCTTGGCTGCACTACTCACGAAATGTGCAAAATAAGAATGAATCTTCTGCAGAACGTGGAATAATACACCACCATATATTTTGTATTTTGTGCATTTGGTGAGTAGAGGCCCTTAGGGCCACTGCACGTATTCCTAAGAAAGAAAAACGGAGAAAGAAAAGAAAAACGAGAAAAGAAAAGAAAAATGAGAGAAGAAAAAAAAAACGAGAAAACAAAGTAGTGACCCATAACCGAGATACACACACCTGAATTCGAATCCAGACTATATATTATCTGCCCACGCTCACGAAGTATAAGTTTGAATTGTACCTCTGCATGACGTAGGGTCCTACCTAGTACGATGTAGGGATCCTACGGAAAAGAGGTTGGAACCAACTAGCACATGAATACTCAGGAGCGAGGGGAATGTTTGGCCACCCCACACTATCCTTTCAACTTTGTTATTTTTTTATTTTTTTTATGCGCCGTCGCAAGTAAAAAAAAAAAAAAAAAAAAAAAAAAAAAAAAAAAACCCTCGAAGACTTTCCAGGTCGTCTGGATCGTCGGTGAGGGTGGTAAAAGATAAAGCACTATTTTTTTTTGGTGCCCCATGGCGTGAACAAACGCCCCGGACCACCCAAAAAACATTTGGCCATTGGGCTGGGGCCCTCACATCTGAACCAAGATCTGGGCCCAGACCTCGGACCCCGGACCACGGACGGTCCGGATCCCTGTCCGGTGGTCCGGATCATAGCCATGTCGGTAGCGCTTCCCATAGGAAAAGGAGGGCTGCCAAGACTTGTACAAAGGTGTAAATGCAAAAGCAAGGTACAACTATACTTGAGACTAACTTCTGACACTCACGTGATAATTAAAATTGAAGATAGGTTACACAATCCTTCTTTGAAGATTATATCGTGAGCTAGCACTAGTCCTAACTTCTAGTAAGGTTAGTTCTATCTTTTCCCAAGCTTCTCTCTCATCATCCTTCTTACCTACCTATAGCTCTAGCACTCAGCGAGCATCTAAAGCGACTAAGCTATCGAGATAATATCCCAAAAGATAAACCCAAAAAAACACACATAAGTGCGCACAATCACATCTTTCACCAAACCCTTAAGTTGTTTATTAAACACATAGTTCATTTGTCTCTCGGTTAGATTAAACCCTTATACCCCTTCCTTACCTATGGCATAAGGTTAAACCGCCCCATCCTAGGGGTACGCTCAACTTGCTTTAAATAATAAATATATGATTAGATCGCTTCATCCTAGAGGTACGTCTAACCCATTTAGACGATAGAGATAAAGCGTACGACTAAGCCACCCCATCTTAGGGGTATGCTTAGCCATCTTAAACAATTGACATAAGATATGTACTAACTAGACCGCCCCATCCTAGGGGTACATCTAGTGTCTGTCCACAAACGATATACGACATACAACTAGGCCGC